GAAAAATTCAATATAGTCCTTCATATTTTTCAAGTAACCTTTCCAAGTTGTCACAATTTATTCGAAAATTAAGAACACAACTAAAAGAATTCAAAGACAAAAGCTTAAGATGGGTCTTTACAAGTTCACAACTCAAATGCTAAACTTCAAGGATGCAAAGGGTGATTTTAATCTCAAGTCTGTCTGGGTTTAAGATTGCAAGTTATAATGTTGGATTTTAAGTCACAGGAAGACTTCATGAGGTTGGCATTTCAAGTTTTTTTTCATGATTAAGTTCCACGGTACAAGCACATCTTAAGATAAGAAATTGAAAGAGCTACAAGAACAACTTCAAATTCCTCACAAACTGAATTAATGCTTATACTACTTGCCATGAGACACTTCATAAAATTCCCATTTTAAATGTTTATATTATACAACCGTTTATGGTAACCAAAGTAATTCAGATTACGACAAACAATGGACTATAAGAGCATTCTACACTTTATTGACATGTGAGCAATTCAGTAATTATGTACAACAAGTCCTAATTCGAAACCTTCATTAACTCACATCAACATCTCCAGAACAACTGTCGAAGCAAAGAGGTTCTTTCCTAGTAGTCCAGCTCCCGCTAATACGACTCGAACATATCTTTAACACCTGCATAACACACAAGAATCATGGTCAGTATCTCAGCCAACCAAGGAACCAAACTGCGTGTTTGGCGGTTTGATTTACAAATTTGGTTCAGTTCATACTTTCCCCACATGGGCCAGAAAGAAAGGTAGAGCAGGAAAGTAATAGAATATATTGAGGGCAGCTCATGATAGTCAACAGCAAGCATGAAAGGAGAAGCAACTGTTGATGCGTCACTTTTCTTTACATGTGCATGAAAAGACATTAGTACAAAGGTTGATTTAACAGCTTATGTCGAGAAGCACAGATTCTTGTTTTGAGGCAGTTATTAACGAGAATGTTACCAATATCGAGTTACAGTGGAACATATTATTCCTACAACTTTCGAGAGGACAAAAGCTACTTGTTTTGTTGTTGGTCAGGCAGGAAGTGACTAAACATTCACAATGCAACCATTACCACTCAGAGCTGCAAATGACCTTGTTAGACCATTGCATCAACTTGTTTACCAAAATCAGAAATTTAAATGGTGGCTTAGCTACTTCGGGATATATGGCGGAATTGCATGATCTTCTTGGTGACAGGAAGAAACTCTTAATGAGAGAAGGTGGACGACAACAGTTTGTCGGTTTTTTTTTGCAGCAACGACATCTGTTTAACTTCATCCCCATTTTCGGCATCTGCAACGTGTTTGAGATAATGCCATGAGAATTGCGGGAAATATCTATAATGTTATTAGGCAGTAGCAGAAGAGGGAGATGTCAGTTGAATGAAGAATGAGTTTCGAATTGTCTTACCATCTTCAAGTAGTCATGTGCAGGGTATTGAGAAGTCAGGTTCACCATTTCAGTTTGCACGCGTACTTGGAGTGGTTTATCCTCATGGATGACTAAGAACGGATCAGTCGCCGCACCTCCAAGGATCTGCAATCAGACATTAAATATTCAACCATAAACTTGAAATCCTAGACAAGTTTAGTACATGTTAACTCCAGCCTCTCAAGCTCTTGAACTTTGACGGAAATCGAATTACTTCCTTGCCTGATGAATTGGGCCAGTTAGTAAGGCTTGAATGCTTGTCCATCTCAGGGAATTTGTTAACATCCTTGCCGGCAACCATTGGCAGTTTGAGAAACCTGTTGATTTTAAATGTCTCAAACAACAAGTTGCAGTCCCTTCCAGAACCTATTGGGAGTTGCTCCTCTCTCGAAGAATTACAAGCTAACGATAATATTATTGAAGATCTTCCTTCTTCAGTGTGCAATCTCTCACTTGAAATCCCTTTGCTTAGACAACAATAATGTGAAGCAGATACCTCTGAATCTATTGAAAGATTGCCACACTCTTCAGAACATATCACTCCATGGTAATCCTATATCAATGGACCAATTTCAACGGATGGATGAGTTTCAGGAGTTTGAAGCAAGAAAAAAGAAATTTGACAAACAAATTGATTCAAATGTAATGTTTGGCTCCCAAGGTCTTGATGAGGGTGTCGATCTATGAAATGCCTCAGACTTTGCACAAAACAAAAACTTTGATTAGTTTGACTCATGAAGTTACCAATATTAGGAAATGAAGGAAATCCCAAAACAAGGACCCGACATAATTGAGTTTAAAATGGAAGGTGTAGAACAAGTTTTGAAGAGCATTAACCAAAATCAAGCATGTCAGAATAAGTTTGGAAAGGGTTCGATTTAGATTCCAATAGGATCAAACATGATAAGCCGAAAAAAGAAAACAGGATTTCGGTGATTAATTCAAAATCAAGGGTTGGTCTCAGTTGGACCTATAAATCGACCATTCACAATATCCAAAAGGGAGGGGAAGATACAACCAGAAATCCACGAACAATCACAAAACCCTAAAAGTCAAAAGAAAGAAGAGAACTTATCTTCATTACCCATCACCAGAAACCACCGGAAGCCCCTTTCAAAAGCTCGACGCCAAAGTTAACTGTTCGAGGCCGGAATCTCCATCACCTTCAAACCTCTGTCGAAACCACATCCTCCACCGCGAATCACCGGCGCCGAAGCCGTCATCGCCGCTACTCTCGAAAGCTGCAAACCCAATTTTAAAATGTGATTACTTTTTTTCCTCTAACAAATTGTTTTTTCTTGTTTTGTCGATGCAGGAAGCATGAAGTAGAAGACGAAACGGAGGAATATTGAAGGTGAGAACGCTAAAGAAGAGAAGGAGAGAACAAGAAGCCAGAACAGAGAAAGAATCGAAGGATGAAGAAGGATGGGGGTCGCGATTGACGACAAGAGGGGGCGGTTTAGGGGATTGAATTAGGGATTTAGGGTTTTACTTAATTTTGTTTGAACTGTTGTAATTTTGTAATCCCACGCACGTGCACCCATGGTAGTACCATGCACCTCACGCACACACCCACCGATCTCTAACAGATCATCATAGTATGCACCACAACACTCCACACCGTGCACCCTCGCCAGTAAAACCCACGGGATCACACGCCTCCATCATTTAATCCCTAATCTTTTCATTAACCCACTTGATTAAACCATTAAATAATTAATCAACCTAATTTACCTATTTAATTTAATTAATCTTTTTTTGAACTAATCTAATAATTAACTAACCTTTCTAATTTGTCATTAGCCTATAAAACCTTTCGTTAATCCTTTTATTCAATTTAATCACTCTTTTATTAGTTAACTAATAATTAACTCAATCAATCTATTTAGCTTTTTTTTTTTTTTAGTTTACTATCCGTTTAATAATAAAATTAATCTCATTCCCAACTTAATCCCTTTCCTTATTAAATAATGATATATGCTAGTTTGTTCATTAGCTAAAAATATTTTTTTTATAATTAATTTTATCAAAATGCAATGTTATTAGTTTAGTGAATTTACCAATTTCAATAATTCTTTTTTATCTATAAAATATTTTGTTCACATTCTAAATGATAATAAGACTCTTTTTTTTATATAACTTTTAATAAATAATTTATCTTATTTTATAAATAAATAAATAAAAACTATTTTATTTAATAAGGAACCTTTTACATAAAAACATTTTATAAAATAAACCACTCCACTGTTTCTCGGTAATAACAAAATAATAACAAGCACCTTATTTATTTAGGAAATCCTTTTATTAAAATTTAATCAATTTATAATATAAAAAAATCAACTTATTTAATAACTTTTATTATTTTCAAAAATCTAATTAATCCAAAGTCTTATTTTATAAAACTATTTTTCTCATAAATCAATCTCAACTAAAATAAAACCAACTCACATCGTAAAATGTAATTCAATTGTGCACGCTTACGCTTCTCTCCGTCCTCGCACTTCACAATTCACACACTTAGCGCTTTCATGCGTTTGTGTATGTTTTACTTTATCTGCATTTTATCATTTCTGTAATTTATCTTCTGCAATTTAACATTACAGCAATTTATATTCTCGCATCGCATTCCTTCCAAAGGAAAAACCTACACATGATTCAACGCTTGTGTGTAGTGCACATCATTTGCATCATATTCCCACTTGATCCTTGATCCCATTCAAGTCGATCATCTTAAGCTAGATCCTACCCCATAGGAAGCACCCTTTTTTACAACTTAGAAAAACAAACAACAACAATATTCAAACACCATAGAGAAATAGATGTTAATCATCTTAAGCGAGATAAAATCTCCACCCCACAACAATACAATCAATACCGTAGGGACTTTGCCTTAAGGGAGATAGAGGCGTACTTGTCGATCAATATCCAAGTACTTGAACCCTTCTCTTAAGACGATGCAAAGACTATTTTCCTACAATTTGTGGCGGTTAAATCTCTCTTAAAATGACAACTCGTCTTTTCTCCTAAAATCAATCAATCAACTACCCTAAACCCGTAGGAACTTTGACCATAGTCAAAGAACTCCTCAAACCCTTTAGGGGAACTACAGATACTCTGATTCCATTCCCGTAAGAATATGTAGGCATAAGATGCGACATCTTATCGAGTATACTTAGAAATAAACCCCTAGGTCTTTCAACCATTAAGCAGATAAACCTTAGCAATAAACAAACATAAAACAAAAGGTTCCTGTAGAGTACTACAGAAACTTAGGATGCTAGCACCTTCTCTAAGTTTAACTAACCCTTGAACCTATAACTCTCTAGCTTGGATTTGCATTGCATTGTGGGTATTTCGATCTTTATCCCTTCCTTTGGACAAATCAAAGTTCGGTTGCAAATGAATAAGATTCAAACTAATCAATAGTTTGGTATCCAAATTTCACCGTGACAATATCACATAACAAAGAATGTGAGAAGTCATGTTAAACCCGCGGTGGGGGAGAAACAAGTAGAGTCCGAAGGTGGAAAATTGGTGAAGTTCGGTGTGATTGTTGAAAAAATAATGGATGCATGGAATCGTATACTAAATTCTTCCACAAAAGAGTTATATGTCGATTTTGTCATTCAATTCTGGAAAGTGTGTGAAAAGTATTCTGCTTTGTTGAAATATGTTGAAAGCACCATTCTTGATCAGGTGAAGGAGAATATAGTTTATGCATGGACTGATAATGTTAGACACCTTGGAAATACAACCACCAACAGAGTTGAGTCGGCCCATGCTAGTTTGAAAAATTGGTTGGGAAATAGCAAGGGGGTTTATGTCGAGATTGGGACTCCGTAAATCTCATGATTAAAAACCAACATAATGAGATACAAATAACACTCGGTCGGAGTATAACGGTATTGGAATATCGATTTAAAGATAACATTCTTTATTCTCAATTGATAGGTAATATGTCTCGACCGGGGTTGAACTATCTTTTTCATGAGGTCAAACGAGCTGAAACTGTAGGTTCCGATAGCGCAAAGTGTGGTTGCACTATTGTGAAAACCTTTGGACTTCCGTGTGCTTGTGTTATTGCTAAAAAGTTGAAAATAGATGAGCCAATAAGAATGGACGAAGTTTTCCCTCATTGGAAAAGACTTAGTTTTGATGATGATGGTTGCATGGAAAGAGGTAAACTGAATATCTCTATTTTGACCGAATGGGAGTGATATAGGAGAGATCCTCAAAGGCCGATGACAACATGAAACTCCATATCAAAGAAAAATTAAGGAAGAATTCCTATCCCGAGACAACCGACATGAAACTGTCTTCTCAACCGGTAAAGACAAAAGGTGCTCCAAAGAAAATGAAGCCTACACTAAATGACAACTCGACTATACGGTCTCCTTCTTATTCTGTGCAGGTTGAAAAACTTTATCCCAACTCACCGACTCCTAAATCTTAAAAAAATGTCATGAAAGGAGCCCACATAAGCAAACTGCCTCTGACCCCGATTCCACCGAAAATTCCATTCATCGACAAGATGCCAGTTTTTATACACAAATACATCGACTATTTCGTCAATGTTGAAGGCGATGGTAATTGTGGTTACCGAGCCGTTTCGACTTTGCTTGGTAAAGGAGAGGATATTCATGCGCTTGTCCGTTATCAACTAATCCAAGAGTTGAAGACGCATAAAGAGTTGTATACGCGGTTGTATGGAAAGAAAGAAAATTTCGATGCGGTTTATGAATCTCTGATTCCTTGCTTGAGTGGTCCGACACCGGTGTCGAAGTGGATGACCTTCCCTGATATGGGTCATCTTATTGCATGTTCATATGTTAGGGTTTTGATTGACTTGACACGATACGGGTTTTCAGAAACCTTTTTTCCACTTTGTACTACACCACCTCAAAATCCAAATGATCGCATCATGTGTATTGGATGGCTTGCAAAATTAGGACATTTTGTACAAGTTTACTTGAAACCGAGATGCCCCATACCACCTACATCACCGGAATGGGCGACTCATTCAACCCCAAATGTCGAGACGTGGCTGGATCATTTTATTGAAAGGATGCACGAATACGAAAGATTGAACAACATTGAAAAGGAATCGAATACGAAAAAGTCCAAAAAGGTACCACCAATAGATTGTCGACGACACTTGTTTTGATTCATTTTAAATTCTTGTATAATCGGATGACTAATTGTAAAATTTTGAAATGCAAAATAGTCACGTTTTATTCTCATGCCTTATTTGTACACATATGCCTTTTATTTGTCTATTATGATGTCCTTCTATATTGATGTCCTTTTATTCAAAGAGAAGATTCCGCTCGAGTTGGAGGCAACGGTCCAAAGAACATTCGATGACATCTTAGAGATGTGCAGGCGTCCACTAGGCTATTGAAATGTAATATTTAAATTTTTGTCAAAATCATCAATGTAACACCGATTTTATTTTATGAACGTTGATTTTATTATTGCAATGTTGATTTTATGGTATTCTATTTATGGGTTTTTTCCGTTAATATGAATAAGGAAGTCTTCTGTAGATGCATCTACGGAATAAATAAAATAAAAACACTGAAAAAAGGTGCGTCCGGATATACATCTCTAGAAGCAGAGGGCATTTTTTGAAACGCACATGGTGCATAAGAACCCCAAAGGTTGGGATAAGAAGTTCTCTTTGTTGTAACTATTTCATGAGCCCAAGTATTCTCTTCTTTTATTGTAGAGATTTTTTGGTAGTGAATGGATATTTGGGTGATGAACTTGAATGGTATTGATTTTGCACTTCCCATAATTATTTGAACAATGTTTGAACTTTTAATCAGGAAAACTTTAAATTTCTTATAATCCTCGATTCTTGACTAAACCATGATACTTAAAGCTTGAATTTCCAATGAGAACCAAACTCCAACATTCTTGACTTCTTCACTTGAAATGAATTAAAATTTGAATCAACGGGAATTCATCTGAACTTTTCCACTTGAACACTGATAAACCAAAACTTTCAACTTAAACCTAATGAATATCAATATGCCTTGAAATTAGAAGATAATGATTTGTAATATGAACTAAATTGCAATTGTACTAAAATCCTAATTGAAAGTGAATTGTCCCTGATGATTATCATCCCTAAAACGTCTGAATTTAGGACAACCTGTTAACTTGATTCATAAAACAGATGACTTGTAACTGAAGAAAATTTCGTTTTGTCTGACTAAGATCAGGTCAAACTCCACTTAATTCCAACCATCACTGCACATATGCTTAGGACAAGAAAAATAAAAGGGTATGACAAATTTGGAGTATGACGTTATGTCAATTGTTTGTTATCTTGATAATGATGAGCAAACATAATTAACTCTTTTAGTCAGCTACTCATATGGGAACTTGCTGCAGCAGACAATAGTTTGTTATTATAAAAGCAAGTGACGTAATAGAATTCGTAAGAAATTATTCTGTTTGATAAGAAATTTATAGTGTTTAATTTTATTCTATTTTCAGCTACAATTGCTTCAATATTTGTTAATATGCATTCGACTACAGTTTTTAATGGGGAAAACTTCAAGGATCGGAAAGAGAACATGGAAATTGTTCTTACTTGTATGGATTTTGACCTTGCATTAAGAACGAAGCAAGCAGCTTCTCTTATAGAATCTAATACCTTTGAACAGAGAAAAGAATATGAAAAGTGAGATCGCTCCAATCGCATGAATCTCATGATCATTAAGTGTGAAATTTTGGAGGTCTTTAGAGGTACTATATTGAAAGATATAACAAGTGCCAAAAATTTCATTGTTGAGATGGAAAAGCGCTTCAAGAAAAGAGATAAGACGGAAACAAGTACTGTACTTCAGAACTTGATTTCCATGAAGTGTCAAGGCAAAGAAAATATAAGAAAATACATTATGAGCATGTCAAACATTGTTTCAAAATTTAAGACACTAAAGCTTGAATTGTCTGAAGATTTGTTCATTCATCTAATATTACTTTCTCTTCCTTAACAATTCAGTCAATTTAAGATATTTTATAACTGTCAAAAGGAGAAATAGTCTCTTAGTGAGCTCATTTTATTTTGTGTTTAAGAAGAGGGAAGGATAAGGCGATATAAGACAGAAAGTACTCATTTTGTTGGCACCTCTAAAGACAAGGGCAAAAAAAAAATTAATGAAGTCAAAAATAAAATTACAAACGTTCCAGCACAAAAGAAAAAGAAATAGAATGAACAGATCCAACAAGTAGTATCAGAGTAAATCATAATTTTTTCAAACCTTGTATTAACATATTAGTTCAAATAAATCAATCAATAAAAAAATGGAAGGAAGTCAATAGCTTTGGTGTATGACAAGGGGTCGAATGAGCCAAAAGCATGGATGTGAATGAAGATCAAAAGTAGAAAGTTGGATGGGTTACTCATTCCACCCCTTCAAGGTTGTTCTCCCATCACACGATGAAAAGCAAAAAAATATTTGTAAAATTTTAAGATACATCTTCAAACGTATCTTTTATGTACACATTTTAATACTTAATAAATGAGAAACTCCTATTTTATTTAAAAAAATTGTTCGAAAATACATCTTCAAAATTCGTAAATACACTTCCATAAAAGCACCATGTAGCTAAAAAAATACTAATACATAATTGATACTCCATACAAAATTCTCCTATAATCTTATCTTCCATTTTCCAATTCATAGATATATTAGAAAGGGGTGATTTTATTCATGATCTCTATCTTTTCAATTTCTTCGATGATGTTTTAAGAGTTTCAATTTCTATAAATTTTCATTTAAATCAAAACTTAGGTTTGTTAAAATGAAAATGCAATTCTTCATATTTATTTTTTCTTTTAGAAAAAAAGTAATGGCTTATAATTAGATAATGAAATGAAATTAATCTACACAAAATACTGAAAGTAATTTTGAGAAAATGATACTACTAAACATGAATCTTAAAGAAGTATATCGGAAAATACATTTCCAAATCTCCAAATGCATTAAGAACATTATAGGATTTAGGAGGAAACATCCGATGCATTGGCAGGACCCAAATCAATACACTTATGTAGTGCAATCAATATCAAGAGGAAAAAAGTGCTAAATTTTTTGTTTTTGTTCCGTCTCTTTACCCCTACTCTATTTAATCTCATGATTAGTTTTTAAATCAAACATGCACAAAATAAAGTTGTGTTTTCATATTAAATATAATTATTTCAAGCATCCAAAGTATAATTATACAGTGTGACAGCTAAATAAGTTTCCCTTAAACTACATTATGACACTATTATTCCCCCTAAAATTCTAAACTAAAGAAACTTTAAAGTGCATCTGTACAAAAACAAAAAGCATGCATAAGGTTAAATTTGAACACCAGATATTTCTCTTAGAAGCTCGAATTACACAATCAGCTCTTTCGTTGAAGCTTTCAACTAGAAGGCTGGTATTTGCAAATACAGTCATATATGTTCCCTTTAATCAACTTTTCAGCCAATCTCTGATTTTTCACCATCGCAAGCTGCAAAGGTTTAAAATAAATAAAAGATTATAAAGAAAAACGTATCAAACTATGTAAAATCTTGACTGATTTATAAACCATGTAACAGCTCTCCAAGAAGTGGAATCCTCAACACAATCATGACATACGATAACAAGAGTTTTGGAGAAGCATTAGCTAAGTAAACTCTAAACCAAAACCAAATGACAAAATAGTTAACTTAAAATCATCTGACAGTTATAATAGCCATTAACCAGAGATGTTACCTTCAAAGCATCGCATTTAAACTCGGCATAGAGGTTAGTATGTAAAGATCTACCCATCCCTTCCAAAATTATCTGCAGATAACAAAAAACACAATTAGAATATGTTTCTCATTTATTCTCCTATATGCAAAGTAATGTTGTAAAAAGAAAAGAATGAACAATCCTCTCACCAAATCAGCATCTTTTGCAGCAGCGGCCAACTCAGAGCTGACCTGTCTTAAGTCTATACATGGACTACCACATCCATTCTCAACAACCATCAAGGGGACCGAAGATGAATTTTCTTTCGAACTATCTGTATTAATCATCGCATCAACAAGTAGACCTCCAGCTTCAGCAGCTCGCCTTAGAATGTCGCAATGCTATAAACAGGAAGATTAGTTTACTTCCACTGAAGAATAATGGTCAAAATAATACCAACAAAAGGACAGTGGTATTTGGAACTTCTAACAACTCCTTTTGTAGATACATGAAATTGCACAAGTGACATCTAGTCATTCTTTTTTTAATTCAATTCACATTGAATGCTATGCCATTTTGGTAAAGTAAGGTCTACAAGACAATTTTATTAGGTTGAAGAATAGACAAAATGAAAGAATGTTTTACATGTAGTGGAGAAGGAATAAATTATTTGAAAACCAGAACATGAGATAGAAAAGGTGATGGCTTCCACTTAAATCCGTGCATTGGGAAATTGTGGTTTTCATAACATAAATAAATTTGTTAGGCAACTCCCTTGGTTGGAGAAGTGTGTTAATTAGAGAGTCAGTTAGAAAATGAGGAATCCATATGACATTGTTTATCAATGAAGACAAATATCTTCTATATACTGAATCAGTGTCTATCAAAATGCAAACAAAATTTAAATCCAGGGGATTCTTCATTAACCCATGTGACCTTAGCTACAGCTTTTTCCATCAAATGCAAGGAGGAAAGGGGGGTGGGCGTGACAAAGAGAAGTAACTGAATATGACAAAGACATGATAATAAAATAAAATAAAGACCGACAAGAGTTCAGGAAAATAGACAAACCTTGGCAGCCTCAGCTACAATATCAGGAAGCTCCATTGCAGTCACGTCATTTAAAGCAGGTAGCGAGTTTGCAACCAGAACTACCTGCAAGGCCCGTCCATTGTTATCATGGCAACAATATTTATAGACATTGACTAAAGTGACTATATCATCCTAAGTACCAGCAAATAACAATGGTAGGAATTGGTGTAGACAAAAATTCAGAGAAATGTTAAGAAATGTGGTTGGGTCTAACTCAACCCTACAAAACCGACGCTCAGGACTAGACAACTGAAGCGTGGAAAATAAATGGTGGGTGGCCCGATAGCGGAAACCATAGAAGGTGGCCCACCGGATCTTAAACGAGGCTCTGATACCATGTTAAGAAATGTGGTTGGGTCTAACTCAACCCTACAGAACCGGTTGGTAGAGTGAGGATTACCCCCACTTATAAACGCATGCTCATGCCATATATTGTCCGATGTGGGACTCTTAACAGATAGGTTTTCTGAAAATTATTATGAAGTACATGGTGTAATTGCAGGTATTTGTATCCCGATTATGCAGGCTTGGCAAGCTGTTAACCATTGGTAACTGTATCTTACCGTAATAACAAACTAACTATACTTTATTTCACTGAATCATTTCTGACGATAACTTAAGCAGCACATGCATGCACAGAATATAGCTACAGCATAATCAATCATAATTTTACTTGATGTGTAAAATCATAAAAATGATAGTGAAAAAAACCATGCCAAAGGAGGGAAGTTTTAAGGAAGCATTCATACTTAAATTTGGAGATTTACCAACCATAAAAATAAAATGTAACTAGTCCCGTTATTAAAATTACCAAGTTTAAATTCAAATAAAGTCAACAATTTTTTTTTGGAAGGGGATTGCTTAAGATCAAACACGTATAATGCCTTACAAAATTTTAAATTTTCCAAAATATGAAAGCTTGAAAGTGAACTCACTTCAGTTCCACGACGGAGGAGCTCCCTAGCCAGAGGGAGCATCCCTAGAACAATGTCAGCACCTGAATTATCAACAAAAAGTAAAGCTCTTCTATGAGGAGCCTTCTTCTTGCCTCCGGACCCTAACATTCTCTCTTTGAAGACATCAAAGTCATCCACCTAGATCAGTAAAAGTTATATTGGTATTATGAACTATGATGAATAAATTCAAAAAATAAAAACGATAACCCTTATCAATAGATATGCTAAACACCACCTACCCGCCATGGTCTGCGCATTTTATTGCGACTCATTCTGTAAATTTCAATAATTGTTCCTTTATGATAGAGATCCACACATGCACGAGATCCCCAGTCAAAAATGTTTGCAGCAAGAACACCTTCAATTAGAGTAAGCAATCTTGTTTCCTGAAACAAAGGAGATTCATATTACTGGTAGCAAGATTTATTAGAATTCAGTTATAATTTTATTAAAAAATTAGTTAAATCAACAGACATTTTCTTTAAATTAGGAGTGATACATTAACTACTTAACCAATTAGAATTCACCTATATGTTAAATCTAGTGTATTGTAGTATTATTCCAGCATACCTCATCCATGCTATCAAGTTCCACAAACAAGTCAGGTAAAACAGCAAGTGATGCTTCATTTTCCCTATTATACATATACAAACCAGTAATGACAGATAGAAATATCAGTAGAATGCATGTGTGAATGAATTAAAAAATCAATTCGTGTTCAAAATTTCAGTAAAAAAAAATTCAAGGGACTCACAGAAGGCAATTGGTTAAACATAGTCCAAGTAGAGATTTAAATTTAAAAGCATAACTACCTCTGCTTTATACTTCTGTAGGCATCAACAAACTGGAATTCCCTCAAGCACTCTTCCCTCATTTCCAGTAGATTGGCCAGACCTAACTTCCCATATGCAGAAGGCTCCTCCATTAACCTATTCATTTGGTGTGCAAGTTGATTAGATGAAAGAGAGCTTAAACCAAATAAAGTCCATGAATTTTGGAAATTTATTAAACGTAATAAATACAGTATCAACATCAATAATGTGACAAAGTTTAAGGGATGCTCACACAAAATTTGAAGTTCCACCTGAACAGTTTTCTATTTTTTATTCTATGGGTTTCATGATCTAGTTGGTGAAACTGTGAAAAGGAAGAGGGCATACATCCTTAAATCTTTTTTAATTTTAATGCGAGAAATTTGGTTGACTTGGAGTAGGAACCGCACCAAATCACATTGTCTTTATATTCAAAGAATAATGTGTTAAAAAAACTCCCTCCCATTCGGGTACCAAGTTAAGTCAAATACAACACCCACCCTAGCTCATCATTACACGCTCATGGGTTTCTCTCTTCACATGCTAATATGCTATAGTTGAAAATTAGATATACTAAACAATTAAGAAAAGGGGTGGTATAATGTAAAAAGAGACCGAACTAGCCAATACTGCGAATTATAGTAACTTTGACATGATCCATGCATATATCTCTCGCACAAAAATTACGGTGTTTGGCAAATCTAGTTGCTTCTCATGCATATCTTTTTGTGGGCAGGAGTTTCTCAAAACCATGAAACACAGTGCAAGAGCACTTGACCAGTAATAACTTTTAATTTAAAATTAAACCAGATGATTAAAGATAACAAAGCTAAAATACAACTGCTTCAATAATGAATCTTATATCAATCTTACCTTGCCAAGTGGGCAGAAAATGCACGAGCAAAAGCATCACCCCTTCTTTTGGCATCATCAGTTCCACCTTCACTAGCAACAGCCTGTATATATCAAAATCATAAAGTAAATTAGGAGGTACAATGCAGTACAACCGAACAATAAAGTGAGCCAAGGGTTGCATACAGACCATTAACAAGCTCAACACAGAAATACAATAGTTTTACAAGAGCAGGTATAAGCTGTGCCCCAATTGATTAGCGATAAAAATATTCTAAAAGCCAAAGTATAGATAGCAATATTTTACAGCTATAGAATGCCAGTTATAAAATAGCCTAAGTTTAAGATCACATATAATCATTCTCTCTGTATTTGTATTGAACTTATACAGTTCTATCTGATTCTAAGATAGGTTGTCATTATATCAACACAGTTCACCTGCAAGATAGTTTTGAATAATCTTTTTGATCTTTGGTGCTCATGTGATATTTATTAGGCTCTACGGAGGGATTTCGATGATGGACATGTAGACAAACTAGCAAGCCTTTCCTAGTCAATATAGTTTCCTGTTTCCCATGGTGCTTGAGTTTTGGGTTTCTTTTAGGAAGGAATCTTGTTTTCACTTGTATTTATTAACATAAAATATTTCTTGACATACGTAAAAATTGATTATAGCCTTATTAACATTATTATATTCTCATCACTTTTACTGATACAAGAAGTTATCTATATTGCAAGCAGAAATCTGAAGTTATCTTTAGTGTTTTAGTTTCTTTCATACACGAACAGTTCCAATTTTAGTTTTTTTGTGGCATAAAAAGACAGAAGCAGGTTTCAACTTTCAAGACAACATTAGTTTACTACCTTGTCAACAAGATCTGGCAAGTGCTCTGACAAAATTGTGAGCCAATATCTACATCAGATACAAATTGTGTTATCAACAAAATAAACACTAGAAACTATGAAGCCTAAATTGACCTATAATTAATGGTAATTTTCTTACTCTAATTCACTGGGATCTGCTAGATCTATTGTATTGGGCTCATACCTGAAAGATGCAATTTAATATTAGTTCTGAAAAACAGAATACTGAAAAGTGATAACATAGGATTGCCTTATACAGCAGATTTTTTAAAAAGTACCACATTTCCACTGATGAAAAGGCACACAACTCATAGTTAATAAATACAAAGCGACATAACAAGTGATAACAGTGGATCAAATATTGACCATTAGACCTTAAATGAATGGCCAAGATTACAAATTAGTGTGAAACAATCTAATGGTCAGGATCTGTTCTTGCAATAAGCCACTATATGTGTGTGTGCGTATGTATGCATAAATGATACATGCATGCGTATGCCAACACATATACATAGTCCTCAATTGCCATCTGTGGCAATATAAATGACAAGAACATATCAACATAAGGACGGCCCAATAGATGTGAAATTTCAATCTAAGAGGTGCAGGCACATTCCACAAGAATCCTTACAATTTTGGGTCTGCTAACAATGGAAACACTTCCAAAGTTGGTACTAGATGGAGAACACCAACATTTAGAGCACTCGCATCAGATCGCAAAGCACTTCCTTTTGACAAAGGGACTTCAAAACCCCCAAGTCCAGTAGTTCCAGCAACAGGAGTCGTCGGTACAGGTGCAGTAATTTCTGTTCCCTTTTGTAAAAACTTCTCCATCCACGAAATCTGCATTGGAACCTCCAAATCACATTAAATTTCTGCCACTTCTTAATTTAGGGGGCGAACTATACATATAATTCTATGTGTTAGAATTCTATATTCATAGATTGAGAGAGAGATCTCAATTGAGCTTCTCTATTTTCTGTTTTTGTACTATATGATTTGAATTACAAGAGGTGCAGTCTATTTATAAGCTTGCACAGTTAACTAAATCTGTTAGTTAGTTTCCTAGATCTTAGGGATTAGTTAGACTTAGCAAATATATTGCGCAGCTAGTGCACAGTAGTTATAGTGGAACTTACTAAAATCAGTCCCTTTAACACTATGTCACATCAGTGTTATAACCCCACCTAGAAGAATTTTCAAGAAATGATAAAATCAATCAATCAGAATTCAGACAAATAGCAAGTGCTTTTTTGAAGTATAATGAACTGTACTTCATTTGAATTTATAATTTCATGCCATGAGGCAATTACTATATTCTACACTTTGTCTTTACTACCTACTCAATTGGATATGATTCAATAGGGTGACATTAAAAGTTATTCTGGAGAATCTTATTAGTGGAGTTACTTTAGTTATTTAACTATTGCAGCTTCAAAGAGAAACCACTGAGGGAGAAAATGGAGCGTTCTTGATGGTAAAGGAATTGATGCCCACTAAAAAAACACTCTTATTAAACTGACATCGAAATTATGGTTGTTAGGACTAACTTTCTGTGGAAAAACTAATCCAAACTAAATACACTAACTCCAGAATACCCAATTGTCTTGAGCAGGTGACCAGAACAATTGAGATATTTCAAATTCCTATCACTTGCCTTCTCATTCAAATCTCCAAGTGGCGGGCCATGTATCTTGCCTCCAGTATATGGAGCACCCATAGGAAACCTTTCGACTAACTGATGCACCATGAGGTCATCTAAACCATGCTCTTCATAACTCATAAATGCACCTAAAGCTCCCAGAAAGCCTTCATGTCGCAGAAACATTGCTTGTGCTTCCCCATTAGACCTAAATAAAATATTATTAAGTTGCAAGTCAAAGTAGTAATTTAATTTAGAGGAAAAATATTCTAGTTACATCAAGCTCTTAGGCATTTTATGTACCAGTATTGAACGGCAAAAGAAAGAGTGTCCATTGTATAAGCATGACCCCTGATAAAAAATCCTCCAAAAAATATTCTCTTCAACCGGAATCGCAATGCATTTAAGTAAGCTATCTACAGAGTGATGAAAAGAACACAGGATTGTCAGGTATTTGCTGGAAGAAAAATAAGTACTAGAATTGAACGTTAGAATTTCTTAAAGTGGTTCCCGATAACAGAGGTATGTACATAAAAGTGAAATTAGATGATATTCAATAAATCAACTAAAAGAAAAGAAGTTTGTAGTTTTACATTTCTAATTTACAAAACTTAAACAGTGAGGTTTTGTCTTTTGAATAATGAATTGGACAAATGGAGAAAAATCACAAGTTTGGCTGCCTATATTTAAGAACTAAGACGGATAATATTTATAATTGCCATCTCACCTGGCCAATATTGTATGAAATCATCCGTAGAAGAGAGAGTGATATGTCTTCAGGCCTGTAGTTTTCAAGCTCCTTTTTTTCTGATATAGTTTTCCCAAAACTTGAAGCAATAGTGGAAGCCGATAGACCAATCTAGAATTATTCAAGACCAAAGAATATTCAGCAATGCCGATAGATAAAATATTATAAAATGATTCATATTTATCTAATCTATAAAGTTAATTTGCTTTTTTTTTCTCTCTCGCTATATGACTAACATTTATTGTATATAAAAATAAGATCAACTGCAAAATTTACCTTAGAATAATCCAAACCACCATAAATATCCCCAACAAGCATGTCAATAGTTCTATTATCTCCTTTCTGGCTTAGCTCAAGCAACTCATCAAAGCTGAAATTCATTTCAACAGAACACCTTGTCAATAATTTTAACATAGTAAATAGATCAAAATGATAACAGGTCTCATGAAAATAACCTATTGCACTTTGTTAACAGTCTTCCCAAGCCCCAATATGTACCACCACCAACATTTGTCCCACTAACCCTCTCAAACTTTCCATCCCCATCAACCTATGACAAACAAAAAGAAAGTATCATAACCTGATAATTTTACCATACATTGTCCAAACTCCAAAGAGACCAAAAGTATAATAAAATTAGGATACAAGAAAAAACGGTACCTTGATCATACTAACACCGGAACCAACATTAACTAGAAGATAAGGGAACAAATCATTATGGTCAATTTGAACAAACTCTTTCTTGCCCTCCATGTGTGTGAAAGCTTCATGTCGAATTGCCTACTAAGAAGTGGTAGAACTTCTAATCAGAGATATCAAGAGAGATAGAGAGGAAGAGAGATAGAGAAAGAGAGAGCAAACTATAGAGTATAAGATCAGCAAAAATGAATGAATTAGTGGCACAGCACACTCTGTTCACAATTTCAAAACTAAAAGACAGAGTTTGTTTTATAATAATAAAAAAGGACCAACGTGATTCCGAATTAGATCTTGGTTAGTAGCAAGAAACATGAAAAGTTAAGGAAAATACAGTAATAAGCAATAATCAGCTATAGCTATATAAAAACTCTAGCATATTAAAAATTTTAAGCTTATTAGTTGTACCAAATTATAAACATAACCAAGTTTAGCCAAAGAAATGCTCTTTACCTTCAAAATAATGGAAAACACAATAATGACTCGGAAAGAAGCAAAGTCAGACAAACAACTGTTTCTCATTTTAACTATTTATTTATGATTATTCACAGAGACAATACATCCTCCCGTGTCAAGCTGACTAAATAAAATGCATAATGCATGAGAAAAGGATAATTTAAAACAGGCATCCACCTTAAGCAAGAAATTCGCTCCTGCCACAAGACAATTCATTTCATCTTCTTTGTCAAGACTAACCCCGAGTCTTTCTTTGAAAAGGTCAGCATACTTGTATGCTCCACCTCCAGTAGCCTTTGTCACAAAATGAATGAATTAGTCTAGTATTTCATAGCCATCAAAGCATAGACAGGCAGAAAAGGGGTAAAAAAATAATCCAATTTGACAGTTTCCCAAAACAAATAATGTTAAAATTCCAAATAATATTAACAACAACAAATGAAATGAACAGAAAATTCCTCGATATTGGTTTTTATACCAGAGGGCAGAGCAAATCAGATATCATTTTGAAAGTAACTACTAACACATGTGATAAGCAGCCAAAGGTTGTAGCTTTATATTTGCAATCTCATATAAATTATAATTGATGATTTGAAGAAATGATATAATCCAAACAGAAAAGATATTTGAGCATAGCTTCTAGTTAAGCCAAGGGAACAAAGAGGCGAAGTTACCTTAATTATGGCATTTTCATTAGCCGTGGCATCTGAGTAACGTGACTCCAACCCTTTAAGCAAGAGAAAAATTCCATAATCATAAATTCCCTAAGTTGTATTAATGTGCCAACTTCTTTTAGCAATATTGAAGTTAGTTGAATGAACACAGAAACAACAAAATAATAAAATGATATTTGAATGCTCAATACTATTATAGCAGACTATATACCACCACGGTGAAGCTGCTTTGAATGAATGAAATCTAAGCACTCGTTGATCTTTCTTGTTTCAAACTTCACAAAGTGAAGCCTTCCACCAAGAATAGGAAAGCTTCTCCTATTACCATTTGAAAGCCCCAATCGCTCCTTTAAACTTTTCTTCCTTTTATCATCATCTGATTGACCTTCGTGTCTTGAAAAGTACACCAACTTTATCAGAGATCCTGTCCATATGATGAAACAGATCAACTTTCATGCATAGTTGAGACACTACAATACAAGTTCTTTAGTTTCAAAAATTGAACCAGGGTAATCATAGAATATACCAGTGACAAATCTCTGAATATGAATCAAAACTGTGAAAACCTCAAAAAGCAAAACAATCAAACTGCTATATGCACTTTCATAGACTAATTTCTCTTTTTCTCCTCAAGAGAGTGATCAAACCCCACAAAAAACAATGTCAAAAATAAGGGACAAGACCAATCCTAAAAGAATATCATAAAACAAGAATAAAAGTGAACAAATAATCTCTTAGGCTATGTTTGGATATTATGAAATGAGCAGAGCAGGACGAAGATAACATTCCATTGTTGGAAATTTTATGATGCCCAAATCAGAGGGGAGGGAACATGGTGGTAAGTCCGCTCTATCCAATTTTAAATGATCCAAACAATGGAATATCATTCCCTTCCGCTCCATCAGATTCTATCAATCCAAACAAAGCCTTAGACTGAAAAAGGAAAGTTGGTTAAAAGATGGAAGTTGTTTTATGCATTTCACTTACTTATTACTTCATGGAAGATACTAACCCAAAATACTAACTTTAACCCCACCATAAAACTCAACAAACATCATGTATAGCAACAAAATGAAAAGAACAAAGATCATAATTCATAACAATACACACTGATAAAAAGGAAGTAAGAAAGGCAAACAAATAAACCAAATGAAAAGCAAAACACCAAAAGCATGAAACATTCACATGACTCATCATACCTCCAATATCAAGAGCAAGGTGAGACAAATCATCAGATTGATTAGGCAACAATATGGTGGGATACTTATCCTCCACATTAGATTGAATTTCAGCTTTACTAACATCAAGTTGAGGCCTCGAACTGGACCTATGAATCGAATTCCCTTGCATATCTTTTTCTCCTTGACCCTCCAAATTTATACGCTTGTTGTTGTTGCTGTTGTTTCCCTCAGATTCAGTTCCCCTGTTCTGTCCCTCTTCGTCAATTTCAAGAACCTTTTGTTCGTCTTGAACCAAATCAGCCATATTTTATTTATTTATATAATAAAACTCTTATATCTCCTAATCCCCACCAAACTCTTCCCTAAATTTGGTTGGTTACTCCTTCCTGGTCCTATCCTAATCATACATTGAACCAAACAAACAACCAACGATAACTTTAACACAGTCCCACCTCAATAAATAAGTAAATCAATAAATGAATATAATAGTACTTAATTATTTTCTAGGACAACAAAATGGGGAAACCTAGAAGCCAATTTTACAAAATTAATATTTTTTTTAAAAATTAAAAAATACGGATCATGGAAAAACGAAAGGCTGAGATTGAATAGTGTATTAACAGAAGATAAAACGGATTTTGTCGATTCTACAGAATGATAATGATGAATTTGAATTCGATTTTTCGAGAACAACCATAGGAAAGGGAATCGAAGACATGCGAGATTATTAGAAAATTGATAAACGAAGGGAATCATAGCGATGATCGATGATGGTGATTTTACCTTAGAATATGAGGTTAGGATGAGGAGAGAAGAGTAGATAGAGGAAGGTGCGTAGAGTGGAGATGCAAACGTAGTAGCGTATGTGATCACTGGTAAGTGTTTTTGGTGCGGCGCACGTGATAGCGTAGACTTAGATCTCGATCACTTTTGGTCAGAGGTAAACTTTGAATTTTCTCCTTATGTAGTACGCGCCAATACGGCCAATACGGCGCGTGGTGGTTCGCGCTTTTGTGATAGAAGTTGGTTGATACTACACCGAATCACCGATTAGTAATTTACTAGTATAGTTGGCGCATTAACTTTTGGGCAGCTCTATAAAATCTATCCCTAAATTTGAGGACGGTAGTTTATGACATATGTGGTGGGAATCATAATAGAGACATGATTTTTTTTAATAAGCTAAAAGTATATAAAATGAAAATAAAGGAGATGTACTGTACAACATAAACCATAAACCAAATTCGTTCAAACTAAGTAATCATTTTAAAAAGTGTACAACATAAATCATAAATCAAACTCGTTCAAACTAAGTAATCATTTTTTAAAAAAATACAATAGTTGAAATGATATAAAAGTTATCTAAAATAAATTAAAGCAAACGCGCACACACGATAGATACTATCTGACAAATCCGTATACGGATGCAAAATAATGCTAAATTAGAATATGAGTATAAAGAGGTTTAGAAAGGAGTTTGAATAGACTTATTTCCTAAAAGATAACTTCAAAAACAATTTAAGTCACAAAAACGAAGCAATAATGCACTAATGCAATAGCGATATTAACGTATACTAGAAGAAAAGATACACACGAGGCAATTATGTATTGAAAGAACATCTAACATACAAACTATATGACATACAAACGAGGCAATAATGCACTAATGCAATAGCGATATTAATGTATACTAGAAACTTAAAAGGAGATAAGGGAAGAAGAAAAGATACACAGAGATACATAATGGTTCGGAGTCCATCCTCACTTTACCTACTTCACTCTTCAATAGTCTTAAAAATCACTGGAAAATAATCACAATCTTTCACTATTTTAATAAGTTTGATACAAGCATTTTGATTACAATGAACTATCACACAATAATTTCCTATGTTGATGTAAACACTCAAACTTCTAACAAAAACAAGATCGTGAAAGAGCTTAATCCAATAACGTTATTCATAATAACCTGCTTCAAGTATTCGTGTGTGGTAATCCACTCAATCCCATTGATTTATTGTCTTAGTGATTGCCATTAACTAAGCGTTGATTGGATAACTCCTAACTTTGTCTGCGAACAATCTTTCTTCAACACCACCAAAGATGGATAACTTCCAACCCCGACTTAAGGACACTTTATACTTGATCTCGCCAAAATCTTCCATGGAGTATACTGAAAATCTCTCCTTGATATAGACCTACAAAAACCAAAATGCATTTAAGAAATGATACATGCACCTATTACAAAAAGCAAACTTCACACAAAAATATTAGATATTATAATGTACCATTGGTCCCCCTCAACACTCAATCTTTATAGATAGAGGTCCTCAACAATGAAAAAGGAATAAGGACGAAGATGACGAACAGTGTCAGAAAATCTCGCAAGCACTATAATTCACAAGGTGTTAGTCAAGGAATTAGATGTAGGTGAATAAAAAACACACGCACAAGGTTCTCTCAAATTTCTAGATGAATAGGTTATGGTTCTTGATGGATATCATGAGCTTAATCAACCATGAAACACTACAAATATAATAAACTCACTTTCTTTAACTCATTTAAACAACAACAAATTACACAAGAGAAAATTGCAACAAAAATAAGTGAATTTGACATTAATTGACACTCAATACGTTGTTCTGGAGAAAAAGAAAAAGATTAAAGGTGCTAGGAATAGACAGACTAAATACGAGAAGAAAAATTGACATTTTTGTCTCTCTATGGGTTTCACTCTATTTTTTTTTTTAGATTAAAGAAACAACTAGTTAAATCTAAGATTGAAAAATGGATTTTGTGAAGCTATGATTCGAGTCAAGAAGAAATCATGACTCATATCACAAGATAATATGATTAAAGTCAAGTTAACTATCTGATTCAAGTCAATTAGAGCAGAGCTCAAATTTAGCTTTATGTATACATCTGATTTGAATCAGTATTAACACTTGATTTAAGTCACATGAGGTTGTGATTTGAATCGGGTTCATTTGGTGTTTCGAATCAATTCATCCAAAGGCAAATTCCAATTGTCACAAAGCTTTTAACTCGAATCATACTTACCACTTGATTCGAATTAAGTAACTCAACATTTTGATTTAATAGTTCTAACTTGTGATTCAGGGCAAAACCTGATGAAACGAAAAAAAGCAATTTGCTAGGCTAAAAAAGGAACATTATCTTGGATCAAACTTCTAATTTTATTGAGTAATGAAGAGTCTTAATGGTACAACTAAAATAGCCGAAGCAAATACAATACAACTCAAATGCAAATAAACTACAAACACATGAATATTAAATGATAAGCAAATTACGAATAAACAAACATACTATAAGATATACACTCAAAGTTGCAAAAACATCAAAACAAGTAAATGGTACCATGTGATAACGTGGCTACATTTACAAACTAAATAAAAGGAAAAAAAAGTCTTGTATGAGCCTTCACTTTTCAAGACGGCAAATGAACCAACCTCCAACGCGGACTGATTCACAAACCAATAACTTTAGGAAAAACAACTAACAAGATGAATATTTTGAGCCAAACAATCCAACATCAAACAGATAGTATGATAAAGATATTAAATCAATTAGACAATAATCACGATGGCTGATACGGAGATTTTATCAGTGCCAGTGCAGAGTTGACCAACCTTATATAGGGGTGTTCAAAATTGAACCAATCCAATAGAAAATCGTAAATCAAACCAAACCAAACTGAAACCGAAAAAAAACTGCAATTGTTTCGGATATGTTTGGGCCAAACCAAACTAAACCAAACCTTAAATTGCGGTTTGTATTTTGCAAATTGAACTAAACCAAAGCAAACCGCATTATGTTACAACTCAAACTTCACTTATCTCACATCCAACCTAAAACCCAAACCTATTATGCCTCAACCTTTCAAATATTCTTTTACTCATGCTTAGGGTTTTAGTTTCAACCTTTTTAAATATCTCCAAGTAGTATCACACATTCTTCTCATCTTCTTTACCATGTATCTCTCACCTATTCTACTATAATCTCTCATCTCTTGTGTTCTTGATTGTTCATCTTCTCATTTTTCATGTTATTGATTTCTCTTCTAATTATGTTTTTATAGTACATTTCTTCTCTAATCTTGCATCTCTTATATTTTTTCTTTTTCATCTTCTCTAATCTCGCCTCTCTTCCATTTTTTCTTTTTTATTATAATATTTTTGATACTGTTTTATACTACTATTTTATGTTTTTTATTCCACTTTTGTCTAATCTTTTTTTTTTGTATATTGAAAGAGAAGTTTTTGTCTAAACACAAAGTTATATTGTTCTCTATAGATGTATGTATGGCTCAATAAAAATCTCATATAAAATTGAACCAACCCAAACCGTATTTGTTTGGTTTGGTTTGATTCAGTTTTATTTCTAAAAGCAACCTGAACCAAATCGAACCGCATTCTTTTTCTCTTGCGGTTCGGATGACTTTTAGCGTCAAAATTGCTCAGACCGCACCGCGAACACCCATAACCTTAAATACTAAAACCTGCAAATCTCAACAAATTTAAAGCCAATCCGAGAATTAAAAGCTCGGGATATCAACTTTGGACTAGAAACACAAACTTGTGATTGTGGCTAAACCATTGTAGTTTAAGAAACTCACCGAAGAAAAGATAGGAGTTGCCACAACCGTCGTACTTCCACCATGGAAGAAACCAAGTTGAAACACACAACAATCTGTCGGTGAAATGTGATACCTCTTGTAGAACCATATATGGTGAGTACTCTGTAAAGCCCTAATTTAATTTAAATTATTTTCGTGATTTAATTATGTGATATTTGGTGATCTTGTTGTGTGATTGGTGTTCTGGTGTAGTAAAGAGCATATTGCAGTGAGAATCGAACATCAAGCTATTAATTAACTTGAATAATAAATTATGAAGTTCACCACCGAGCTTTGATTTATCCAAAGGAAAGGGTAAAGATCAAAGAAAACCCTAAGTGCACTATGTAACAACAAAGCTAGAGATCTAAGGTTCGGGGTTGGTTATACATAGGGAAGGTGTAACGCCCCGATTCTGATTTCCCATTTTGTTGAGTCTTTTGGTTTAATTGGGTGATTATTATTTTAAATTATGGAATTTATGTGTTAATATGTTATGTTTGCATATTATGTTATTTTACCGATTTTGAGAGTTTTCTGGGAAAATAGATTGGAGGGTATTTTAGACATTTAGTATTTAATGTTAAGTTGGATATTTTCTGAGAAAATGGATTTAATAGATATTTTTAGAGAAATATAATAGAAAGAAATATAAGTGGAAAAAGGAGAGA